CCGCCGACCACGCCAAGCCCGGCGTCCCCAGGTCGGCGTCCTGGCGTCCAGATCGGCGTCCACTCGCCCCGGACGCCGTCCAGACGCCCAAGTCGGCGTCCAGGCGCCCGGGACGCCGAGCAGACCCCCAGGTCGGCGTCCCACCTCCCAGGACGCCTAGCAGACGCCTACGTCGGTGTCCAGGTGCCCAGGACGCTGAGCAGACTCCCAGCTCGGCGTCCAGCCTTCCAGGACGCCGTCCAGACGCCATGGTCGGCGTCCAGGCCCCCAGGACGCCGAGCAGACGCCCTGGTCGACGTCCACCTGCTCGGCGCCCTGCAACCAGGCGCCCACCAGCTCTACACCCCTGCAGTGGCCCCCGTGCCCACTGCTGCAGGTCGGCTGCATCCCCCCGCACAACCGACCACGAGGTCGGCTCCGCCCAAGCGAGGACGGGGCCACACAACACTCCCGTTGACACTCCCCTGCCGCGTTCACGCTTGTCAACCCCATGCCCTCGGCGACCGTGATGGCCGACTTGTTGTCCACTCGCAGGACAGTCAGCTTCCCGGCGTCCAGCGGCCGGAATTCTGCCAGGAGGAAGCGAAGTCGGCGTCCTTCCTTCCCAACGTCGAAGGCCGCCACGTACTCCGACTCGGTCGACGACAGCGTCGCGCACTTGATGCGCTGGCTCGACCAGGAGACTGCGGCCCCTCCGTAGACGAATGCGTAACCTCCCATGCTCGTCCGGTTCTGCTTGTCGCCGGCGTCGTCGGCGTCTACGTAGCCGACCAGCTCCAGCGTCTCCGGACCACCGCCGAACTCCAGGGCGGTGTCGCGCGTGTTGGCGAGGTAGGCGAGGCAGCGGTCGACCTCGCGCCAATGCTGGTCGCTCCTCACCGTGAGGCCGCTCCCCAGCTTGCTGCACGCGAACGCGATGTCCGGCCTCGTCGTCGTCGCCGCGAACTGTAGCGAGCCGACCTTCTGCCGGTATTCCTCCTCCTCGCGTTCCTGCACCTCTTCGTCGTCGAAGGTGAGCTCGACGTAGGCGTCGACCGTGACTGGCATCTTCGGGGTCCGACCGCCCTGCTCCTCGTCGATGAAACGCCTACGCAGCTTGTCGGCGTAGCCTTGCTGGTGCAGCCACAGCTTCCTCGCCGGCCTGTCGCGCACGATCTCCAGCCCGAGGTACTTCTGCACCGGCGAGATCTTGCGCAGCTCAAAGGCGGCTTCCAGCAGCTCCTTCAGCCCCTCCAGCATCGCGGTGCTGCTGCTGGCGGCGAGCAAGTCGTCGACGTAGACCAGCACCCAGCAGGCCACTCCATCGTCGCCGACCTTGAAGTACAGAGCCTCGTCGACTTGGCTCTTCTTCCACCCGGCGCCGACCAGCGCGTCATTGCTTCAGCCCGTACAGGCTCTTCAGCAGCTTGCACACCCGGCCGGTTCCGTCGTTGAAGTAGTCCGGCTGGTACATGTAGAGCACGCGGTCGATCTTGCTCTGCAGGAAGGCGTTGTTCATGTCGAGCTGCATCAGGTTGAGGTTGAGCACGGCGACGATGCTGAGGAAGATCCTCAGCGTCACGTAGCTGCCCACCGGCGCGAACGTCTCGTCTTAGTCGGCGCCGTACACCAGCGTGAAGCCCTTCACGACCAGCCTCGCCTTCTCACGCTCGACGGTGTCGTCGATGTGGTACTTCGTCGTCAACACCCACCGGTTCTTCATAACATTCACTCCCGGCGGGCGTTCAACCAGCTCCCACGTGCCCATGCTGATGAGGCTGCGGATCTCCTCCTCCATGGCGGCCTTCACCGCCGGGCCCTTCCAGCTTGCCAACGCCTCCTTCACTGTCATCGTCGCGATGTCCCAGCGGTGCTCGGGGTCGGCGTGCATGTCGGGGTCGAGCTCTGGAAACTCCTCGTCGTCCTCGGCGTCGTCGTACGCCAGGTCGTCGTCGTCATTGTCGTACAGCGTGGTGAAGGCGGCCGCCGAGAGACAGACATGGTAGGTTAGCCGCTCCGGCGGCCTCCGGACTCGGCCTGAACGCTGCAGTGCAGGCTGCACGGGGTTAGCCTCCATTTCGTCCTGCCCGGCGTCCGACTGCTCCCCTTCAACTTCGCCGGCTTCAAAGTCCGACGTGCTGCGGAAGTTCCAGCAATGGTTGGTGCTGGTCGAGCGGCAGGAGAAGAAGTCGGTGCTGCAACTCCGCTCTGACCGGGGAGGGGAGTTCCTCGACAAGGCGTTCACCGCTTTCGTGGATGGCAAGGGAATCGTCCACGACCTGACCTGCCCCTACACCCCACAGCAGAACGGCATGGCTGAGCGGGAGACATGCTTCACGTCGGGTGAAGCCGCGTACGTGCTTCATGTCGCCTCTCGGCCCCATGTTGACGAAGACCTCCTTCGTCCCCATCAGGTGGTGGGAGCAGCCGCTGTCCAGCAGGACCACCGCCGGGTTCGCCTGCACTGCTGCTGCCATCGCCTGGAAATCCTCACCGGCCTCCGGCGCCAGCGAGACGGTCGGCTCTACGACGCCGACCAGCGAGCACGACGCCTCCCCGTCGCCTCGCCCCTTGCCGCTAGCAGAGGAGTCGGCGTCCTTCGCCGAGGTCGACTTGTTCGACTGCTTCTCCTTGCGCGGCTGGTTTTTTCGATGTGGACGACGGCTGGCCGACCTCCCGCGGCCTCCCTTGGCGTCGTCGTCGTCGGATTCACTGCGGTCGGGACACTCAAAGGAGAGGTGATCGGGACTGCTGCAGATCCAGCACTCCCGACGCCGACCTCCTCCTCCGCGACCGCCTTCCTTCGCCGACTTACCCTTGTCGGCGTCCTTGGCCGGCTTCCCACCTCCGCTACCACCGCTGCCAGGCTTACCGCGCTGCCCTGGTCGGCTACCTTGCTTCGCCGGGGCGGCATAGTTTGCTTGCAACAGGAGCTCCGTGGACTTCTCGGCCTCCTGCATCGCCTCGTCCTGCAGGATGTACGAGGTGATCCTCGTTGAGCGTCGCCCGCGTGCTCGGCGCCACTGACAGCCGCTTCAGCAGGTTGTAGCTGCTCGTGAGGCCCTTGATCACATGCGTGACGTACGACGCCATCGAGTACGCCGCGTACTCGATAGTAACTTGGGCTCGAGAGTAACTTGGGCTTGATCACATGCGTGACGTACGACGCCGTTGAGCGTACGCCGTCGATAGTAACTTGGGCTCGAAAGTAACCTTGTTTCTAGGCGCGCTCGGGCGGTGGAATCAGCTGCAATAAATCCGCCTTTCTTTTTTGCAAGCTCTTCATCACCTGAAACATAGGACACGACCCCACGTGGTGCTGTACGTTGGTCACCAGCTCCACAAGTAGTAATCGCATTGTAGTTGCTGTCACGTTATTTCTACCCCGAAGTGACCTGAGGTAACCCCGTTGTGTGCCTCCTACAGTAGCAGTTCCTTAGCAGTGAATATGCTGTTACCCAGATACTGTTAGTGCCGGGTTTTACGTAATACACACCCTTATATTCTTTTAGCCGCTGCGAATGTTCGGTCGTGAAAAAATGGGTTGGTGCGGTATCCGTGGGTAAATTAGGCCTGCTAACAGTGGGTTGGTTTGGGCAAGTAGGATGGCGTGAATGCGTTGCAAGTAGGATGGCAAGTTGGGCAGTGGGTCGGGTGAGTGCGTCGGCGATATTCGATGCTCCCTTTTTATACGTGACGTTGTAGTGGAAGTTGGACTCCAAGTAATCCAGCCAGCGAATCTGTCGCGGATTGAGGTTTGGTTGGGCGCAAACGTACTATAGCGATCTGTGAACTGTCCGTACTGTCACGTCTACTCTCTTGAGGTAGCATCGCCACACTTTGAACACGTGCACGATCGGCAGCATCTCACAGTCGTGTATCGATTAGTTACGTTCGGGCGGGTGAAGCTTGCGGGACTCATAGGTTAGGCCGTTCCCGAAGTCCTTCAATGATACTGCTCCCACGGCGATGTCGCATGCGCTGGTGACCTGTTCGAACGGGCGGTGTGGATCGGCGATGTGCCGTACGGGTGGCGAGCATAAATTTTTTTCAAGGGACGAGAATGCAGGCAGAGACCTGGGAAGACCAGAGACCAGGGAGCGAGAGTGCATGCTACGCAGGCGAGGCAAGGAGGGGTGACCAAGGCGGTGGTGCCACAGGAGAGTGTCGTGCGACAGGCGGCGACACTCACACTGGGTAGCTACCTGAGCAGACGCGTACAGCTGAGGAGACAAAGGGGCATGACGCGACACAGCAGTGAGGGTGTACAGACTGGACCCAGGCGCACGTGTGAACGTGGCCAGGTGGCGGCCGGTCCGAGAGCACGTGCAGTGTGTCACCCGCTGTCCTCCAGGAGTAAAGGTGTCAACCCAGTGATCCTGAAGGACGGCGGTGCTCACCAGGTTCGTAGAGAACGAGGGGAGGTGGAGACCTGACAGCTCACCGGACGGGACCGCCGGACAGGGAAGCACAGTAGTGGACCGTGCAAGCACTGGGCCCAGTGAGACAGGGACAGGTGCAGGGAGGGGTGTGACTGTGGTGCTGTCGCGAAAGAAACAGCGGGAAGCACCAGAGTCAAGTGTGAAGGTGTGCAAGGCCTGAGCACACGCAGTACCAGGGAGAGCAGACTCACTAGCACCTAGGGCTGCAGGCGCTATACATGGGTCTATACCGGGGTCAGGCGGCACACACAAGTAGCAGTCACCCTCAGCACTAACAGTCAATGCATACATGGCAGCAAGAATAGCATCATAGTCAAGATCAAAGATACGAAAATCACGCCTAAGCATGTCTGCCCAGTTGGAAAACTCAGTAGCATCAGGAAACTTGGCGCGCCAGGCGTCGCTAAGCCGAGCGAAGCAGCGGTACTCAGTGTGAAGGCCGGTACACTGGTGACCAGCGCGGGGACCTGTGCGAATGATATAGGGGCAGCGACCAGGACCCCCAGACGCCCCACGCCCGGCATACCAGTCATGAAGCTCCTTAGAGGTGGGGGTCTGGCGCTGACGCTACTGCTGCTGCTACTGCTGCTGCTGCTGCTGCTGCTGCTGCTGCTGCTGCTGCTGCTGCTGCTGCTGCTGCTGCTGCTGCTGCTGCTGCTGCTGCTGCTGCTGCTGCTGCTGCCCCTGGCCACCACTGGTCCCACCCAAGCCCCCACCGCCACCGCCACCACCACTCCCGCCTCCGCCACCACCGCCGCCGCCACCGCCACTGCTCCCAGCACCACCACCACCCCCACCACCACCTCCACCCCCACGACCACCCCAACCACCTCCACCGCCCCCGCCGCCACCACCACTGCCCCCTCCACCGCCACCTCCGCCACCCCTGCCACCCTTGCCCCTCCTGGAGCCACTGCACTTCCCACTAGGAGCGGAAGCAGCTGCGACCTTCTCAGCACCAAGGAAGTCGACAGCAGCAGCAGCAGAGGCGTAGGAGGGGGCAAGAGGGGAGGGGGAGCAACCCTCAAAGAGGGGTGTGCGAGGAGTGCCACGAGCGGCACCTACAGCGAGTATGTTCTTCTCGGCTGCTAGGAGGTGCTTCTCGAAGTCGGCGACAGTGAGAGTGGTAGGGTCTAGGGCGAGGAAGTGGTCCCTGACGGAGCTAAGACTGTCAGGGAGGCGGGTCACGAGGAAATAGAGAGTGAAGTACATCGGGGGGGGGGGGGGGGGGGGGGGGCGGGGGGGGGTTCTCGGCACGGAACTCGTCTGGAAGGGCGGCACGAAAGCGAGTGTCACTAGCGTGAAGTTGAGATATGAGGTCCTCAGCAGTGGTAAATGAGGACAGGTCTGGGAACAGGTACGGTAGCATGAGTCGACCTTGGGCTGCAGTGGCCGACGAGGAGTAGCGCGCAACTACAGCGTCATACAGTGCCTTAGCAGTCTTGTGCTGGCTGAAATGCGCGCGCTCAGTGATCGGCAGATGGTTGCAAATAGCGAGGCGCGCAGCAGCATCGCGAGTCTGCCACTGTGAGCGGTCGAGAGCAGGAGCATCGTCAGCAGGAGCAACGGCAGTGCCAGACGCGTGATCGAACAGTGAAACGCCGTCTTTGGCATCGGTCATAAGAAACAGCTAGAGATCGTCAAGCCACGTGGCGAACTATATTGGGCCACCGTCAGGCTCAAACGCGAGAACATTGAGCGTCGCCATAATCGCAGTGCAGGCAAAGGCAGCAGGCGAAGGCAGCAGGCAAAGGCAGCAGACACAGGCAGCAGGCAAAGAGAGACCGTACGCAGAGCCGCAGAGGGAGCGTGCGAGCAGCAGGGGCGACGAGCAAAGCAGCTGCAGGCACCGCAGGTAGCACACGAGGCAGCAGTAGGGCGCGCGCAGGTTGCGGAGGCGCGGCGCGAGTAGGTAGGGCGGCGCGCGGAGCTGCGGCGGGCCGCGCGCGGGCTGACAGGGCGCGGCGCGAGCTGCGCGGGCGGTGCGTGGGCTGCGCGCGGGCTGCGCGGGCTCGGCGCGGGCTCCGCGAGCGGTGCGCGGGGCAGCTGCGGCCCGCAAGCGGCCTGTGCGGGCTCGGTGCGGGCTGCGCTGTCAGAATCTAGCAGCAGGAATGGATGAACTAGCAGCATGCAGGAGTACAAGTAGTAAACCCTAATTGGGCTGTACCCCATATGGGCTACCCCACTACAGCCTAGACAATATGCAGCATATATGTTTGACACACCCCCATAGGCAAAGTGGGGGAGAACAAGGGGTCAAACGACCAGTCAAGAGAAGCAAAACAAAGCTCAGGGTGGATCTCAACGTCACCACACATTCTGAGCACAAGCAAAGGGCCACAAGGCCAGTCCACATGCAGAGATATATATGCAACAATAACAGTACAGTGATGACTACCTAGCAAGAGCAGGCATGCATGTATATATATAGATCACAGTACAAGCAGAGACTACAGCAAGTGTGGAAACGTAGGTACAAGGCCTAACAGGGTACAAAAGCGCTGATGATCACCAGACGGAAGTGCCTTGGTGAATATATCAGCAGTGTTGGCCCGAGTGGCCACGTGACGAAGACGAAGCTGGCCTCGCTGCTGCAACTCTCGAGCCAGGAAGTAACGCAGAGCAATGTGCTTCGTTCTGTGCTCCAGTCTGTGCTCCTCACACAAGGCAATGGCGGCCTTGTTGTCGACGTACAGCACTGGAGGAGAACGAGGCTGCTCTCCCAAGTCAGTCAGCAGGTAGGTGAGCCAGCGTAACTCCTGTGCAGCCATGGCTGTGGCGTAGATCTCAGCCTCACAACTGGAGCTGAGAACTGAAGACGAGCGTGTAGAACGCCACGAAACTGAACCAGAGCCAAGGCTGAAGGTGTAACCCTGTGACGACCGCTGAGTAGCCTGGTCGTCAACCCAAGAAGCGTCTGAGTGCCCAGTGAGGACAACTGGGCTCGTCCCTCCAAGCACTAGCCCCATGCCTGATGTGCTGCACAAGTAGCGCAGTACCCTCTTAGCAGCAGCCATGTGCTCAGGTCGGTGCCGACCAGGAGCCACGTAGCGAGCCAGAAGACCAAGAGGGTACGCGAGGTCAGGTCGAGTGCAAGTCATCAGGTACATGAGGCAGCCGACTAGCTCTGGGTAAGGACCACTCGGCTCTACGGACTCGTCCGAAGGTGGAGCTGAGAGCGTGTGACCTGTAGCCAGAGGAGTGGCCTGTGCTGAAGACCAGGTGAAGCCGAAGCGCTGAAGGACCTGCTGCACCATGTGTGACTGGGTCAAGGTGATGGTGCGGCGTGCTTTGTCCCGGGTGATCTGCAAGCCAAGGTAGCTGTGCAGCTCACCCAAGTCTGTGCACGTGTGTCTCTTCTGCAGCTCCGACTTCACGTGGGCGAGAGCCTCAGTGTCAGCAGTGGCAAAAACCAAGTCGTCGACGTACACGAGGATGTAGAACGGCGGCAGTGAAGTGTCGGTGCGCAGAAACAGCGACGGGTCAGCAGTAGAAGGCGCGAACCCAAGAGCCGCAAGCGTAGTCCTCAGTGTGTCGTGCCACTCACGTGGCGCCTGGCGGAGACCGTAGACCGGCCGCCGGAGGCTCCACTGGGTGCCAGGAGGGAACGACCCAGTGAAGCCCGGGGGGCGGCGCAGCCAGATCTCCTCGTGCAGGCTGCCCTGCAAGAAAGCTGTGCTGAAGTCAAGAGAGTGAAGCTCGTAGTCACGGTGAGCAGCAACATGCAGCAGCACTCGAAGAGTGGTCATCTTCGGGGTGGGAGAGAAGGTCTGGAAGAAGTCAACTCCCTCTCGCTGACTGAAGCCTCAAGCCACGTAACGCGCCTTGAAGACAGGCGGAGAACCCGGCGGCCGCTTCACCCTGAAAATCCACATGCCACTGACGATGTTCGCCCCAGGTGGGGGAACCTCGTCAACGTAGGTGCCTGTGGACTTCCAGGAAGCCATCTCTGCGTCCATGGCTGCCTGCCACTGAGAGGAGTAGGGACCCTCTATCGCCTCTGTGTAAGAGCGCGGAGTCGGGATGTCTGGTGCATCCGGGTCTCCCTCAGGGGCAAGTAGCGAGGACACAAGATGAGGTAAAGCAGCAGCAAGACACTGGAACTCCTCCTGCCTGTCCTCAAGGACGTCCGTGCTAAGAGCACACTCACCCCCGACGGACGGAGGACAGACAGACTCAGACTCAGCAACAAGACTGGCGGCGTAGTCTAGACGACAGGCAGCAGCAAAGTCAACAAGCTCAGTGACCAAGGCAGACGCAGCAGTAGACTCAAACGACGGGTCAGTGACAACAGTGGCTAGGAGACGCGTGACAGTAGGGTGCTCAGTACGAAACCGGTCAGACTCAGGGTCCGGAACGGCAGGCAGAGAGGACGCAGGGGGAGACGGCAGAGGAACAGGCTGCAGAGCAGAGGAAGGACGACGGACATGCGCTGGGGACAGCCGGCTGACGCGCACGAGCGACACGACGAACGGTACGATCAGAACGAACAGGCAAGACAGGACGCGACGCAGGCTCACGACGCGTAGCAGGACTGCCTGTCTGCTCAGTGTAAGGAGAGGGAGCAGGTAGCGGTGAGCCAGTCTGTAACGGAAGACCAGTAGACGACGGGAGAGTAACAACCTGACGAAGAGCAGAGTCAGGCGGCGGCAGAGACGACGGAGACGGCGGAGCGAAGAACAGTCGTGTCGGCGCAGCTGCACCAGTACCGGCAGCTCCAGCAGCTCCAGTGCCTCCAGCAGCTCCAGTACCTCCAGCAGCTCCCGTACCTCCAGCAGCTCCAGAAGCTCCAGTCCCAGAGTCGACACCCCCAGTCCCAGGGTCTCCAACCTCTGTGTCTCCAGCAGCAGCACCCCCAGACCCAGCACCTCCAGTCCCAGGGTCTCCAGCCTCAGTGTCTCCAGCATCAGCACCCCCAGAACCAGCACCTCCAGTCCCAGGGTCTCCAGCCTCAGTGTCTCCAGCACGAGCACCTCCAGAACCAGCGACTCCAGCACCTCCAGTAGACAAAGGACCAGCACCACTCCTAGCTCCAGCAGCGCGACGCTGACGGCGACCGTACCAGTCCTGCAGCTGCTGTGGGGTGAGAGGCACACGTGGACGAAGGCGGCTACTCCAAGGAGACCGCGCAACAGCAGACTCAGAACCCTCAGCGCCCGCACCCCCAACGGCTCCAGAACCTCCGGTGTCAGTACCCTCAGCACCAGTACCTCCAGCGGCTCCAGAACCTCCAGCACGAGCACCCTCAGCAGCTCCAGAACCTCCAGCTCCAGCGCCACCAGTACTAGGCCCTCCAGCAGCTCCCGAACCTCCAGCGCCAGCACCCTCAGTAGCTCCAGAACCTCCAGCGTCAGTACCGCCAAGCTCAGCACCCCCAGACCCCTCACACTCAGGCTCAGCACCACCAGGCTCCACACCCTCAAGCTCCGCACCCTCAGGCTCAGCACCCCCAGGCTCAGCACCCCCAGGCTCTGCACCCCCAGGCTCAGCACCCCTAGAAGTAGCACCCCGAGAAGGACCACCCTCAGTAGGACCTGAGTCACCAGTGACCTCAACCGGCGCAGTCAAGGGAGGAGGGTCTACCTGAGAAACACCTGAAGGAGCAGGACCTGGAGCGGGGAAGGGGTCTACCTGGGGAGCACCTGGAGCGAGGAAGAGCGGCGGGGGGGGGAGCGGGGCAGTGCGGTAGGGGAAGAGACGGTAAAAGGGAACCGACTCGTCGAACGTGACGTCCTGAGACGCAAAGACACGGCGCGAGGTGGGATGGTAAAACTGCCAACCAGGCGCGTCAGGGACAAAGCCAAGGAAGACACAGGGAACAGCGCGGGCGGAGAGCTTGTCCGCGGTGGTATCGCGGACAAAGGCACGAGCACCCCAGACCCGGAAACGCGACGCATCACCAACCTTCCCCGTCCACAGCAGTGTGGGCGAGGTCTCCGGCAAGGAGACACGGGGCCAGAGGTTGAGCTGATGCGCGGCGTACCGGACCGCAAACGGCCACAGGAAATGGGGGGCAGCCGCATGGATCATGGAGGTACGAGCGACCTCCATGACTAAGCCAATGCGGCGCTCAGCGACCCCATTCTGCTGTGGAGAGGCCGGAAGCGTGAACGACTGGGTGATGCCGTGCTCCGCACAGTAGGCTGCCAAGAGGTCAGAGGAGAACTCACCACCTCTGTCAGAGTGCTGACGCAGGACAGGAAAGTCCCGCC